GCTGCGGGAGGCCGGGCCTCACCTTTGCCCATGTTCGTCCTGCTGCGCCCTCGAGGCTTCTCAGCAGTCCTCTGGCCAGATGACAGTAAACTGCCATATTCCTGCTCCTGCCTTTTTCTCTTGGTTCCAAGTCTTTGGGTTTTATTGGCCCTGAGGTCTGCTCAGCTCTTTCCCTTGGTAATCTGCTCCCAGACACCCAACCACTGTGACATAAGGCAGCCACACGGGATGTAAACGAAACAGCACACAAAGGACCCCCTTAAAAGAACATGTATGTACTTTCTTAACCGCTTTCCATCCTGACGTTCCCTGGCATAAAGCCAGCCCATGGACCTAAAGGAGGTGAGAAAAGGGGCTCCAACAGCCGAGGACAGACCCGCACTGTGAATGATGTCAGCAAACAATGTCACCTGGGACAGAGTCACCATGTGGCGAAACCCAACTAAAACTTCTGAGCACTGCCTAAGGGAAGCCCTCAGGAGCCCTCAGGAGCACACCGGGAGACCACGCAGGGAGACCACTGCAGGGGGATCACACAGGGAGACCACGCAGGGAGACCACTGCAGGGAGACCACACAGGGAGACCATGCAGGGAGACCACTGCAGGGGGATCACACAGGGAGACCACGCAGGGAGATCACTGCAGGGAGACCATGCAGGGAGATCACGCAGGGAGACCACGCAGGGAGATCACGCAGGGAGACCACTGTAGGGAGACCACGCAGGGAGATCACGCAGGGAGACCACTGTAGGGAGACCACGCAGGGAGATTACTGCAGAAGCGACTTCAACCTGATGCCCAGGGGCCCCGCCCCCAGTTTAGAGCCATTTCCTCTACAAGCAGAAAGCTGCCTGGGTCCATTATATGCAATGATGAGAGAGAAAGTGCCAGGCCTGGCAAGCCTGAGTCCAGAAGGGCGAGAGGGCAAGCCCGGGGTCGGTCCATCCCAGCTGCTGCTTACCGACCCCTCCACAGCCACGTCCCTGATTCCTGTGTAACCCCTTCTTCATCACTTAACTGCGGGCAGAGGCTCCCGTTTAAACAGAGCGGGCCTCTGGGTCTGCTCTTCATTCCCCACTGACGCTCAGGAAAGAGTCCACAGTCAAGCCGATGGCTCTAAGCCATTATTATGCTGCTGGCTTGAGAGCTTCACAGATGCTCTCTGTCAACACCAGCCCTTCAAAGTGAAGAACGCTCCACCCCCCCACTCCCTCCCCAGCTCCTCCAACCTCATTCGGAAAACTCAAATGCTTTTCACTCAACCCAGCGCCTGTTCTCCCTTCATTCAGGCATCACCTGTGACCCTTTGCTAACCTAGAACCCAACAGAAACACCCCACATCATCTGTCCTCAAATGGTCACCTGCACCTATCCTGTTAACACTCTTAACAAAGAAGCACCAGGCCCCTGGTTGCTTGCATTGTAAGGACAGGAGAGAGCACGTTTAGGCTTCCCTTCTGCATTAGAAGCTGCAACAGAGGTTTCTCTCTCTCCCACTCTTCTTGGCCCTGAGATGCCCACTCACGTGGAGAAGCGTGCAGTCTCCTGAGCCATGTGCACAGAACACAACCTTTGGCAGAGGGGGACACGGGGTCCAGAGTGAGCCACACACCGGCCCTCACCACCCATGGGGTGGAAGCACCACTGGGCAAGAGGAAAGGGCTTCCTTCCCCATGGGAAGTCCAGAGCCAGGGCAGCAGGAGGTGGGCAAGCCCTCAGGCAAACCATCCCTACTAGGAACAGGAAATTCCAGAACATCTCCACATCCTCCTTCCTTTCGTCAGGCTGCCTTCTCAGTGAGTGCCAAGTACCCAGACGCTGCAGGTGGCTGTTACGGTTGGACTGCTTCTCTTAGAAGGAGGGTGTGGTCACTTTCTAGACTCTGGACACCCAGGCGGTGTGCAGGGCAGTGGCAGTGTAGTGGCTGAGAACCCAGTCTCCAGCATTACACTAATTTGGGTTCAAATAACCAGCCGAGTTCAATAAAAAACTACCCTTGATTGAGCGCTTACTATGTGCCAGGCGCTGTACCAATGTTTACACACCTCTCTCATAAAATCATCACAATCCCACAAGGGAGGTGCTAATAGCAGACCCAACTGGGTTGGATCTGCACCTAGTAACCTGCCCAGATCCAGGACTATTTGAGCCCAAAGCCTATCTTCGTAACCACTGTGCTTATTAGCTTGTCAAGGTGCCTCATTTTCCTCTTCTATAAAATGGGGATAATACCTAATCAAAGGTTGTTTTCTGGATTAAAAGGGATAATTTAGGTAAACCCTTAGCAGTGTCCCTGCAATTATTGTTAACAAACACTCTGCTGGTAACTTAATGACTTAAGGATAAGAAGGAGCCCCAACAGATAGGCATCTGGGAGAAGGGGGGGGTAGTTTTCAAAGAGCCAATGGATTTGAAAGCCACCGGCCATAAAATCCTAGGCTCCACATATCCTGGCCCTGTATTCTCAGAAATCATCCACATGTTTTAAAACCCCATCACTTCAGTACCCCAAGTCTGCCTCCCCAATGACCCTCACAGCTGAGATCTCTTTGCCTTTGAAAGCGTGGCGCACAGACAGACAGTTGAAAAGCCTTACTCTACTGAGAGGCAGCCCTAGATCAGAACAACGGTCGCTACCCACCTGGGAGCCCAGGAGAGTAAGGTTCCTGCCGGTCAGCGTGAAAGGGGGGTAGTTCTGGGAGGAAGAGAAAGATGGGGCCACCTTCAAAGGGACACAGTAACGTGGGGAAGCTCTCTCCCCTCCAGCCCTCAGCTTCCTCACGAGTAACGCGTTCGTGCCTCTTGCCCGAGGTACCTGGGAAGGACGCTGTGACACTGCATAGGATTCAAGTTAGAAAACAAAACAAAAACTCTAAGTTGGGACTGCACAATATGTATGAACTCAAAAACAAGTGGGAAACAGAAAAGCATGCATGGAAGCGAGAAACCGAACCCATGACAAGGTAGGGTACACAATTTCAGGCACATTTTATTTCTCACCAAAAAAAAAAAAAGATCTGAAGCAAGTTATGCCACTCATTAAGATCTGCACGGGTGAGTGTTACAATTAGTCTCTGGAATCTTGCCTGCGTGGTGATTTTCAGTAAATGGGAGAAAGAAAAACAATGCACTAAATGGACACAAGGTGGCGTCGGTCTCTCGGCTACTGGACTGCTAACTGCCCTCACTGCACCTGAACGCACGTGAGGACGTCAGAAGACAACAAACCCCAGCTGGCTCTCCTGCCTTCTTGATGGCAGCCCTGCTGAGCACCCAGCTTCAGTCTCCCGGGCCCCCATCAGCGGCCACGTCTGCAGGAATGTGCCAGGCTCCCTGATCCCGAAGGCAGACCTATTCAAGGGTGGCTCTTTGCAGCCGAGTCCCAACTGGGACGCCCGGTTCCCAAGGACCCCACCCTCTGCCCACAGTGGGGCGACATGAGACAAATGAGGTACCATTCTATCTCTAGTTTGGGGAACCAAGTTCATTCTTCAGTCAGAAAACTAGATTCATTACTAGTCACCTCCACTGTTTAAGATTTATTGCTGAAGACAAGTATTTTTAAGGACAAGCATTTAGAAAAGGCCTGAAAGCACCTGCTTTTTGGGTGCTCAGGACATGACTCAACACCCCTGCAGGCCCTGGGACAGGTTACTAGTTCAGCCAGAATCATGGCTACCGGAATTATAAGACAGCTGAGAACCCACAGGGTGACGCGAACTGCCCAGGTCACAGCCAGCACTGAACCTCGTGCAAAGGCATGTTTTGCCTTTAAGGGGGCCTTGGATCTAGAGAAGAAGAGCCGTGTACTAAAATGAAAATAAACGTTCAGAAGGAAGAAGCTGCTGCCCATGGATGGTCACGCGGTGGCTGAACTGAAATGTCGAGAGGGGTCAGCCCCGTGCCAGACACCCCAGGGACCTGAGCCAACTGTGAGCGTTCTAGGATGCGCTAAGGCTGAGGCTAAACAGAAACAAAGCAAACCAGAGCCAGACCAAGTGCCGAAGCGAACTTCACCCCCATATTTGGCAACGAGCACTGAGTGGCACTGAGGAACGGGCACATTTGGGCACCACGCTCGCTTGCTCCTGTGCTCCCTTGCTTCTCGTCCTGACAGAGAACGTATGTTCCAGAAGTCAACCTCACTCCTCTGATTAAAAGGAAAAAAATAAATAAGTCACAGTTTAAGAGAGGAAAGGTCCCCCTGCAAAATACAAACTACATTTAAACTGGTCACATTACGTAACAAATGTGCACTTAATCCGGAAGATTCAAAGCGCTAATCTGGCTGGGGTTATCCAGAGCCGTAAGCAGGACTTTGCGGTTTCAGTGACGAAGTCGTGGTACAGTTGAAAATCACTGTAAGAAATAAGTGATTTTTTAAAACACACACACAGATACACACTTGCCTTAAGAGTAATTATATATACACACAACACAGCAGCTACACAGGTGGCCAGCCAGCAAAGGGCGCGTGGGTGTGTGAACGGGAAGCCCTCTGCTCCCCGCCCAACGGGCACAAGCCCCCCGGAAGGACTCAGCAGCAAGTCTACAGCACAGATGTGAACGGCATCATCCCTGAAAAGACCCAGAGCGCCGGGCCGCCCTCCAGGAGCCCCCTGAGCCTCACACCCACGGGACAGGGCCAGTTAACGGTACACTCTGCTGTATACGCTTGAAATTCCACAGTGCGGCTTTTTTCCAGATTATAGTTTCTCATGCTTTCTGAAAATAATAAAAACTGCAACCTGCTTTCAGCCTGTGAGGAAGTCAGGTGAGCCCATACCTAACGCAGAGCTCACACTTCACAGGATTGCGTGAACAGAAGGCTTATCTGATCAAAAGCCTTCATCCCTCCAGCCTGTGGCGCCCTCCTGCAGCCCCAAGGCAGGGCGTATGGAGAAGCGCTCCAGCAGTAAAGACACCCAAGCTGTGCACCTCTTCCCTGGCAGCTGGAGGGGGGGGGGCACCTAAACTGGATAAACTCAGATGAACGTCCACTCTCTGATCAAGCCCAGAAAGGGAAGCTCTGGCTTGGGAGCTGGACACACCAAGCAGGCCCTCCAGAGCTGGGCAACAAACACCATCTTCCAGATTATTAAAAACTTGTTTGAAAAACCCAAATGGTTTTACCCCCATGACTTCTTTCCAACTCAAACTGTATTTACTCACAACCCAAATCAGAAGCACATAGACTGTATACACAGATTTTCTTTTTTAAATCCACAAATAAAAACACTAAAAAAAAAAAAAAAGAACAGTGAGTTGAAGCCTTGTCTTTGTCCAAGTTACACCAACTGGGCCTGCCTGGGAGCCCGTCCCTCACTCAGTCCTGGTCCTGCTCTCCCGGCCCCGGGTGGCCCCTACTCGTCCTCCGGGGCAGCCGTCAGCATCCCCTTGTCGATCAGGTGAGACTTGAGCGTGTTGAAGATGTGGAGCTGCTGATCTGGCCGCAAGGTCAGGAACTGCTGAACCAGCTTGCTGGGGTTCGGGCCCCTGAAAAAGGACGTGAAGGAACAGCACTGGGCGCGGCCCGGCCACTTCTCGGGCCTGATCGTGCAAGTGGCTGCTCCCCCTCTGGATTCTCTACTAATGGAGGGCAGGAGGCCTCAGAGAAGCCACAAATGAGCACAACTGAAAATGGCATTCATATTTGGGACGCTTTTCACTCAAACTGAGAAATAGCTAAAATTCTAGAACTTCACCACACTTGACAATCCACCAGCCTGGTTCAAGTGGGAAGGCACTGTACCTGATGAAACTGGCGATATACACGTTGACAAAGGTGGCCATCAGATACTGGCAGTCAAAGCGATCCATGATGCCTCCGTGGCCAGGAATGGTGTTGGCAAAGTCCTGTCAGAGGAGGGCAAGGATTGGTGAGCCTGGCCTGGGCCAAGGTCAAAGCCTGGCCTATGGTCCCGCCTCCATGCCCAGATACTGCCCTGAGTAGCTGAGGGCAACAGAAAGTGAAAAGTGCTGATTCAAATGCTGGCGCTCCAATAGTACACAAGCTTATTAAATTACAGAACGTTTCTTTTGAAGAAAGACACAAGATATATTAACAAATAAACTGAAACTCCAACTACGGAATTTCTTTGAAACAATGTATTTTCACTTAACGTACCTAAGTTAAATGTGTGGAGAAGAGCACATATTAATAGCCAGGGTCCACAGCCTGGTATTGTGAAGGGGGCGGTGGTTGATGGGCTGGGACAGGAGGAGGAAGGCGGAAGATGGGTGAAAAGGGGGCCCCCTGGGAGACAACAAGAGGAAGAGAGCAAAGGGTTCTCCTACTTTGATTTTAAAGGCTCGTTTGAATCCACTAGCGAAGAACCCTCCAAAGGGGCCAATGAGCGAGGCAAACGTGGAGAGGGCAATGCTGTGAATCTGGAAGGGGTACATCCGGACAGTTTTCTGAGAAGAATAAATGAAGTCAGTCAAGGTGCCTGCAAACCCAGGCTTATTACTTGTTAACATGTTATTAAACCAACTTTATTCAACCCCACCCCTCCAACAAAATCAGTAAGCAGACTGGCTTGGGGGTTTTGGGTAAATCTCTAGTATCTCTGGCTTAACAGAGGACATTAAGATACTATGCAATCAGTCTGCTGCACAATGAGGAATGTTTTGGTTGAAGTGTATGAAGAAAATCCAGCCCTACATGGATGTGTAGTTGAAAAAAAAGGAAGAGTACTCAGCACTGCCTTTCCAGATAATTACAGGTATTCTGTGGTATGATACCAGAACTTGACAAGTGGTAGTTTTCTAAAAACTGGTGCAACGTGGAATCTGAAATCCTGTCAATGACCTCTTTGTACCCTTACATTACAATCCATTGGTCTGGGAATACAGCCAAGATTTCGTTATAACTGTAAATGGAGTATAACCTTTAAAAACTTAACACAGAATATTTTTAAATGCTTGGGGGAAAAACCCATTGGTCTGCCTTGCATTCTGAATGGATCTTTTATCCAGGCATGACTGTGTAACACCATGCATTGGCCATTTCGAAAATACTGGTTCACTGAGTTACATAAACATTCTTCCAAACATAGACACATTTTTCACCATACGATGTCAAAGCATCATGTGTGAAAATCACCACAGGTCTCATCAGAAAAGCCTTTGAGTATTAAAACAAGCTGTCAAACTCACAGTGGCAGGTATACACTTTCCAACATTCTAACTTTTACTTGAAAAGCCAAATTTTATCAATAGGAACCATTACTATCAATTGTTGAAGTGACAGACCCACTCCATTCATTTTCAAGAAAAATGTCTGCCAAAATCTAAATCTGAAAAAATGTAGTTTGTTGGTTCTTTTCAAATAAAAGTCATATCCCCATAAAGCAGCAGCTAGTGTGGCTCATAAACTCAAACAGGTGCACAAAAGCTTTTCCGTGAGGTATGCACTGCCCTTCAGAATTTGGCAGAAGCATTTTATGTATACCTTCCATTCTGGTACACAGAGTATTAGAAAGGCGTGTATTCAAGGGTCAAGACTTAATAAAATTAATCACTTTACTATTTCATCAAAGATATTCTGAAGATGAACTGGCTAAGATGTCCCGCGAGGGTGTGGCATGATGAAGCCCGTGACAGTTCAGTTTGGGGCCACTGCCTCCACTCATGCTAGGATGCCCGCAAGTTTACCCACCATCGCTTCTGCACCATCATGGCAAATGTCGACAAAGCGAGAAAGGCAAATAATGTCATTACGTTATGAAGAAAATAACTGTGCTCTCACAGACCCCTGGAAAGGATCTCAGGGGCCCCGACGGGCCCAAAAGCATGCTTTCAGAACTGCTGGTCTTAATGATGTGAAGTGGGAAGAATCACCTCCTCCTGACCCCCACTCTGAACTGACCTGAACAATTCCGCTCCACCCCGGGGCTTGCACTTAGGGGAGGGAGGAAGTGAGTGAGCGGAGGGAAGGCACTGGGGGGTGGGGGAGGCTCTCTTTGTAGTCACTCTCCAGTGGAGGACTGCTCGCCCCAAGTGAGCAGCACATACCCAGCCAATGACCGACTGGATCACCCCAGGAATGTTGTACTCCTGCAGGCGAAACAGGTCCGAGGGCTCGCAGTCCACAGTGAAGCTGTTGGTATCGTTGTTGTACTCCACGGGGCAGACAAAGCAGCGGTACCCGGACATCACGTAGGACAGCTGAGGACGAGGAACAGACAAAGGAGACAAGGTCTGGCCGAGTCCCACACAGTGCTCAGCGCCCTAACTGCAAGCCACGTGCTAAATCAGAGGTTCATGTTTAACCACGTGTGTATTTTACCTGAACGGGGGGTGGGGGCTGAAATCAAGAGGCTTATGGCCCACTGAGGAGGCCTCACACCTGCTTGCTCAAACAACCAGGTCTTGAATAGATTGGGAAAGACCTGAAGGAATTTGGGCAAAGAACTATAAGAAACTTCACCCCATTTGGAGGAGCTATGGCCCATTTTTCTCAAGGTCTCTTAACTGGAAATGGCAGGGGTGAGGTGGGTGGTGCAGTGAGATGGAGACACGTGAAGGGAGAGAAGAGGGCCCAAGAGCGAAGGACGGCTGGACAATCCTGAAGAACAGGGAGGCGGGCCTGCAGGTCAGAAGCAAGGATGGATGCTCCGGGAAGGTCTGGAAGATCATCCCCCTCCAGGCAGGGCACTGGCAGGAGAAAACCTGTGCTGGAATGGCCTGCCCACCTCACCTCTTACTCAGGCAAAACAGCAAATGCCTGGATAAGGACGCCCCTCCTGGGAGCGGCCAGGCCGCGGCGTGAGAGGAGCACAAGGCGCGCACGCCCCAGTCCCCGGTCCCCTACCGCCGGGGCCCTGCCTGAAGCCGGCGGGTGAAGGACAGTGGGCACTGTCGTGCGGGCTCCGGGGGGGGCCGCGCCCAAGCCCCTCTGCAGAGCAAGCCCACCATCCAGCAGGACAGAGTCCTTGGCCTTGGGAGACCTAATCTCTCGCCCTGGATGGGCTCTGAGGGTGGGTGGGAGGCCTCTGCCCACCCCCTACCCAGCCAGGAGCCACCACCTACCAGCAGGCCAAATACCACAGTAGCAAAGCAGCCCCCAATGAAGCCTTCCCAGGTCTTCTTCGGGGACAGCTGTGGACAGAGAGCAAGCTCTTAACAAAAGGTGTTGGTTAAAAACCCTTCTACTAGTAAAGAAAAAAAATCTCCTTCAGTTAACCGCCTCCCCTTCTAAAATACCCCCATGTTTGGTTTCCTTGTTCCCTGCCTGATACCCCTCAGTTTCCTTTCTGTTTCAAATGGCCAAATACTTTAAATATATTATAAAACAGTATACTAATTAAATAACAACACTCAAAGTCAGATTGAAGCTCCAAAGGTGTGCCTATATGGGCTATACATTTTTTTCTCTATTAGCTCCTTTTTTCCCTCTGCAGTTGTCAAGTTTTCCTTTGGATTTTTTTTTTTTTTGAAAATCTGGGGATCATCCCAAATCAGCAGGAGGTAATTAGGTTTATTTATTTATCTATTTATTTATTTACTTTTAGGGGAGTTACTGGGGATTGAACCCAGGACCTCGTGCATGCTAAGCATGTGCTCTACCACTTGAGCTGCACCCTCCCCCTGGCTTTTCTCTTGAAACCAATTTACTACCAGCCTTTCTCCAAGATGACATGAAGGCGTACACACCAGCAGGACCTCTTCTCTGTCTCCCAGGCTGACCTATCTATGCTGAAAGCACCACCGTTCCCTCACGGTGATGGTCCACGTTAGGGTGATCCATTTACCTTGATGAGCGGGGTCCGACCAAAGAAGAAGCCAAACATATAGGCCATGATGTCATTACAGATCACACAAGAAATGGGGACAATGAACCTAAGAAATAAACTACAGTAAGAATCAACTCTTCCCCAGATAATACCTCCAAAGTCCACAAAACAATGCCATTCATAAATTTCAGTACCAAAACAATCTATAAAGTACGTATTATCCCTTAAGGAATAAGTTTAAAAGCAATAAGACACCATATAAGCCATGCCTAGAACCTGGCACACAGCAGCATTCAAATATTCACTGAAGGACTACGGAGTAAATGGAGGTGGTATTTTATAAAATGGCATTTATTCTTTTTTCATTATGAAGTAATCTATGCATACAATAGTACAAATTTAAACTGTAAAGGAAAGAAAACAAAATAAAGTTCTCTTTGCTTCCCCCAACCCTATTCCCATTTTCCAAAATAACTACTTTTAATTATTTCTGACTTTTCTGCTAGTAGCTACCTCCATAATTCCAAGTCATGTATTTCATAATGTTCAACTCTTTTTTTAACTGTTTATTACTGGCTCCAGTGAACCCTATCTTTCCCCAGGACCTCACTGATGGCAGGACCATAGTCCACGCAGCCAGATTTCTTCTCTGCCTCCGTCTGCCGGTGGTCTGGGTCATCCTCACCATGAAAAGGGGGCAAGTGTCCACACTTGTACCATCTCTCTCCTCTCCTCACTCTCTGACAGTCACTTTTTAAAAATTTCCTCCATTATAGTTTAATATACATCAATCTCCATCTCCTAGTCCCTCAACTATGGGCAATATTTTCTGACTTTCTGTTTGTGTTAAGGGGGGCGATTTAGAACATCTGTCTCCACCAGCCACCTGTGCTAAGGACTGTGATGAGGCTTCTAGCACACGTTCTCTGCTCTGCAACTGTAGTTCAGTCTTGCGGGTTGAGTTTGAAGACCAAAAACTAGAGATTTTAACATGATTCACTCTGGAACCAAGCAGTACGTCTGGCCCTAAAGATGAGGACTTAGCATGAACCACTCTTTGGAATTGCCCAACAAAAAGTCTGAAAGAAAGGTAGAGTGTGTCTTCCCAGACCACCATCATTGTTTTAAACAGAATTATGACTAAGGCTAACACTCAGGTGAGCTCGTCTCTGTTCTAAGTACTTCACATATTTGTACTAATTTCTTCCTCAGGCGGTGGGTATCACTGCATCTTCATTCTGAGATCTGGAGACAGAGGCACAGTCTGGGACCTTAACCACAACACTTCAGCTCCTCTTACATACACCAGGGTGTGCCTTCACCTGTTCACTGAAGTCACAGCTTCTTCAGTCAGGGCTGCTGCTTTCTATCAACGGTGACAGATTTCCTGCTGAAACCACTGCATTTCTGGAGTAAAATCTACCAAGTATATCATTCTTTTGACACATTGCCATATTCTATTTGCTAATAGTTAATTTAGAATGGTTATTAGTTTGTCATTCTTGTTTCTCCCTCCTTGTGCTTTTATCAGCTTTAGTATTAAGGGTCAGATAAAACTCAGCTGTTGTCACTGGTCTTTCCTTCCCAGGTGTGGATCCTTATGCAATTTTCAAAGTTCGTTTGTAATTATCACCTATTCAAGTTTTCTTCTTCATGACTTTTAGTTGTTGACTTTTGCCAGGAAATCATAATTCTTTTCCTCTAGATTTTCAAAGTCTGTTGCACCGTCCTTGACTCTGTCTCCATACCTGTTAGCCTAGAACAACGGTTCTCAAAGTGCGGGTCCAGACCCGCAGCATCAGGACCTGGGAATGGACTAGAAATTCAAGTTCTCAGGCAGAAACTCAGAAGTAGGGTCCAGTAATCTGTGTTGTAACTAGCCCTGCAGGGGATTCTGGTGTATCTAAAGGTGAGAACCGCCGGCTTAGACAGTCAGCGGGGGTCCTCAGCCCACCCACACATGACAACACCCACCAAGTGAAAGGAAAAATCCCCCTCACTGACGTCACTCACCAGATCATTCCTTCAAACAGGTTGTGGATGACAAGATGTGACTGGGTTACAACAATCAGTAATGTTACGTGGGTCCAGCCAAACTGCAAAAGAAGATAAAACTTTACCTAGCAGTTTATCTTGAAAGGAACTTCTAATGGCAGTCAATACCAAATGGAAAACTGCTGAGAAATGGGTAGGAAAGATATTCATTTCTGTACCTGGTCTTATTGGAAATGAAAAGGTACAGAACAGGCCTCTGGGAATAAGTCTGTTTCCCAGCTACAGTTCCCATCAAAAGGAGGGCCCATGTGGCCCGTCAGCCCCTCTATGCTCCAAAAGCCTGGGTACTTCTCGTTTTCTTAGTATTTAGTGAGTGCTTGGGATGCTCAGAGAGGGGGTGTTTTCAAGTTGAGGGGCTATTACAGCAGGTAGGGTATCTCTGGGCAATGCCTGAAGCTTCACCTTGAGTCTTACCTGGAGTCTACCCCTCATGTCCAGAGTGGAGAGACTGCCTTGCGGTATAAATTATGTAACAATGATTGTGTCTAAGTGGATAAAGAGCCACCAAACTTCAGTAGGGATGCCTCCCTCCATCCTCTGGATTCCAGATACATAAGAACAGACTACATTCCAGGGTCTTGATTTGTCCCAGGAAGGATGGGAGGCTGGCTGAGTTACCCCGGAACTGCACGCACTCCAGGAACGCTGACTCTGACACACCCACTCCCTTACCATGTAGAACTGCAGCCGGTAATGCTTCTTGACCAGACTCAGCACAAACATGCAGAACCCTGGTTAGAGGAGGGAGGAGCAGAAAGGGCACCGTGAATCACATTCTGCATTTCTCTCCGTCCTAGGCATTTCCTCGAGCTGTGTTAAGTAGTTCTTTGCTAATTTCCTGGCAGCAGTTAACCAGGGCACAAACCCATAGCCCAAGGGGATAAAACCAGTTACTCAAATAAACAGTCAGAAGGAAAAAAAAAAAAGACTCCTTCAAGACAATCAAAGGAAGGCAGTACTTTAAGATCTTGTAGACAATTTAGGACAATTTAGGACACTGTTCACTAGACAGGAATGTTTTGATCCTAGAGCAGGGGCCAACAATGGTCAGGCCAGCTGCCTGTTTTGTTTTATAAACAAACTTTTATTGAAACACAGCCCTATTTGTTTGCATGTTGTCTAGGCTTCCTTGTCCTACAAAGGGAAACTGAGGACAGCTCCCAAAGCCTATAATATTTATTACCTGACCCTTTAAGAATAGGTCTGGCAGAAGGGGGATCCACCGGGTATGAGGCCAAGGCCATCCTTGCATCTATCTTTCACTGACCTATGTGACCAAAGTCTCCAGAAAGGGACTTTTACCCAGAAGTCTGCTGATGCCCAGAAGAGAGCACATCCCTGTCCCCGGCCCCCGGCCTCTCTCTGCGGGGGCCGCTGTGAGGCACGCTCCCTGACTCTCCCCAGTGCAGCAGGCTTCTCGGCAGCGCTCTTCACATTTTCACAGCTGTGGACCTCAAAGGGCTGCACAGGCCACCAAATGTGGGACACAACACAGCGGGCCGGTGACGAGGAAAGTAAGGACAAGGAACAGTTTAATAGTCGCGCTGCTACAGACAAACGTGGGCTAGTAGACCAGAGGGCCCCATGTGCGTGTCAGCGCAACCATGCGGGGTCTGTTATTGTAAGGACGGGCCGTGCACACAAGGAGGAGGGGCTGCAGGATCAATTTCTACATGGAGACCTGATCAGTTGTCAGATCTGTCAGGGACTTCTCTGAACAACAGGATTTACAACTCTGATAAGGGCAGGAAGTGAGGCCTGTCCCCTAGGGTATTGTGAGCCGGGCTATCTTCTGGAGCGATGGGCTTTGTTAGGCTAAACACACATCAAGAGATTTCTTTTCTTTTCCCTACAGAAACGCAGGTGTGCGGAGGGTCCTGGGGGGAGGTGTGGCTCCAGGCACACAGAGACGCAGGGGTGGGGCTTTTATGACTCCACAGCAGCCAGGTGTCATTCACAGAACCAAGTACTGCAATTAAACTGATGAAAATCAGGTCAGACTGAAATTTTAGGTCAGAAGAAGTATCTCATGTGCCTCAAAATGGCTTTGAGCACAACTGTGAAGAACACTAGCATTATTACAACTACTGTCTTAAGTGAGTTTAGACTCACACAGCACTTTACTGTTGGTCAAGTTTTAATGTATCTGATCAAATCCTCACAGTAACTCTGCTGTTTTGGCTCAAGATCACAAAAGAGCTAACCAGAGACTCAGAGTAAGCTCCCAGCTCCTCTGAAGTCACTGAATCTTTTTTTTTTGAACAGAAGTTTTTATTTTGACAAACTTCCATTCTTTGTTTTTTAATAGAGGTACTGAGGATTGAACCCAGGACCTGGTGCATGCTAAGCATGTGCTCTACCCCTGAGCTATATCCTCTCTGCCCACAGTCTTTTTAAACCGAAATTAGTAAAATTTCCAATATACTGCAGTGTCCCTCAGGCAGTCTCCTAAAATGGCCACCTGTTTTACACACAAGTTCCTGGGTGGTCTTTGTTTCAGGATCTCTGCGGGGACCTCTGCCAACAGGGGGGTCCAGAGGACCTTGTGTTCCAGGTCCTGGAACACAAGGACAGGAGGCACAAACTGCAGCCCCCACAACCACACAAGCCCCTCCATCTTAGTTCTCTTCGTGAAGAGCTGCTACAGCTTATGTAAGGCAGAACCCTCAGCTCCACTCCCCAGCGGCGCGGGAGTCAAGGTCATCAAAACCTTACATTAACCAAGAAATGCCCCAGCCCCGCCTCAGCTGCTATGCAAAACCAAGAGAGACACAAGAGCTGGTGAGCCGCTTAACGCATACCTGTTAGGTAGAGAGTAAAGGAAATGAATCGGTGGTATTTGCTAAGAATCCGCAAAGGCTCCTCTCTCTGGACCAGAGTGAAGAAGTAATCCGTCACTGTTTCACCATAGAAGAAATAATTCACACACAGTAGGAAGTACCTGTAAAAGAAGGCAGGTCACTGTCAAAGGGAGAGGCCCATGTGGCCTCGCCTTTACAGCGAGGCTGCCAGAAAGCCCCAGCAACCAGAGCAGCAGCCCATCCAACGCCCGAGACCCCCCGGGGAACCTTGCAGAGGGACAGGTGGACCACGGTTCCCTGCTCTTGGGTGACACTGCAGGTGAGAGCTTTGTCTAGAAATTTGTGGCTTTCATTCACTCTCCATTTATCACAAACCTGGGACTCAGTTTTTACCACTTTGGAAGCATTATCAGGCCTAACTTAACACTCAGATCATAAGCCAATGCTCCGAAACACACCTCGCCCTCCCTCCGCAGTCTCACTTCCACTCTTCCCGCCGGGGACCCCGCACGCCTGCCAAAATGGATTTCTCTGGCTTCTCCATTTGTCTGCTTCGTGCTCCCCTCTTTTCCCTGCCTAGAATATCCTCTTCACTTACCCAGTTTTTCACCCATTGCTCAAATACCATTTCTTTATAAAACCCTGCATGACCTAACATATCTGCCTCTCCTGTATTTAATTCTATAGCATGAAGTATTTGCTCTCTTCACAAAGCAATGCATTATGCTCCATCTCAGACTGTCTCCCTCTCTGAAGCTTGGCTCTGACACACAAATCTTTCACTAGCATTAACTCTTCACTTGTTTATATGCTCTTTCCTCCACTGGGGCTCCGGGAAGGGAGAGGCCATCACTGATGTGCCTTCACAGCCTCGGTGGTGGTTCCAAGTACGCAAACAAGTGCCCGGCTCTAACCACTCAGCAAAGATCCAGACAGGAATGAGAATGGAGAGTTTCTCTCTCTCTCTTTATTTTTTAACTTGTGGAAGTTCAAGAACTCCCATACCGGGCTTATTTTCTATTATATGGAAAACACCCTCTTTGGCCAGTGGCCACAGTCAGGGGTCAGACATTGTGAGTATATTAACTAAAGTCAAAACTGCTTTCCAGCTACAAAAGAGCCACGAGAGAGACCTATACCGGGGCAGGTGGCAGGCATGGGGACTGCGAGGCAGCTTGTGCTGCTCGGGGATGAGGAAGCATCTCCGAGAAGGATGTGTCCAGCCAAGTCCGAGCATGTCCACTCCCTGGGCCATGACCGATCTGCTGGGGTCCAAGATGCTAACCTCTGGCCTGCTGAGTAATGGACTCAATCCCTGAGTCCCACACGGCAGGGTGAGAAGGGTCTGCATCTGGCCCAGGGCTCTCAGGACCACGGCAGTCCTCTGCTCACATGTCACAGCCTGAGAACAGTGTGGTCAATACCGCAGAGAGCTGCAGACCAGGAAGTGGTCTCGGACATCACCTGTGTTACAGGTTTTGGTTCTGTTTCTGCTTCAAGACAGCCATGCTCTTTCCTAGGAGGAGAAAGCAGAGTTCCTCCGAGGAGCCCAGATCCTCTGCCTTCAGTCTCACTCCTGCCCATCGGCACCCATGGAGCCTCCAAAGAACACTGGCTAGGTCTCAATCACCTGTTCTAAGGGTGAGGAAGCCACGTTCCAGAGACAGCAAGACTAGCACTGGCAGCTCCCAGATGACTCTCATGGGACACTGGGACACCACAGCATGGACGATACACCGATCTAGAAGGGGGCGGGGGCGGGAAGGGGATTGTACAGAGTCTCAGGACTCCAAATGCCGAGGCAAACATGGTCACAGACGCAGCCATTCTGGTTTCTTCTGAGGAAGAGCCCAGACCCCGGGTAACTACTAAAACACTCCCCACAGGCCAGCCACACAGCCTGGCCCACACAGCACTTGGGTCTCAAAGGTGCTGTGCCGGTCCGTGGCCACCACCGGCTCCCTCCCACCACGACCGTAAATACCTACCACAAAACACTTGTCGAAATCTGTTAAGGGTCCCTGTGAGGCTAGAGAGCTTACCAGCTGAGGGTTCGGAACCAGGGCAGGTCGTAGGAGTGATAGACATTGTAGCCAATAGTGATAATCTCATGGAAACACTTAATCTGAACACACATCACCTGCAGGACAGAAGAATTAGAATACTTACTCACCTCCCCAGTTCTTATGATCTTTGGAAACAGAAACCAACAAACAGGGCATGGGCCTTCAAGAAAAACATTATATTTAAGAACACTGTCAGTCCCCGAGTGACCCTGTTCTCCACCTTTGTCTTGCACCAACCCACAAGGCAATGATGCCTGTCATGTTGCACGGAGTAGATCCAATTTCTCACAATAAATATATGCTTCTGAAACTCCACTTGGCTTTTTATTGTAGAACCTCCCAGAACTCAATCTCTTCCCCTTTTTGACTTTGAAAAGAATTACATACTTGACAAGTCCCAAGGGCTCTGCTCAGCAGTCAGCTGTTAGGCATTTGACCCTGCCCATGACACTGTGGAGACTAAGAGAAAAGTACTGTGGACTGGGATTTCTTAATGAAAGTCCTAAGCCTGTGGGTGAGGCCACAGGAAAACAAGAAAGAAACCAAGAGTCACAAAGGCTCACGGCAAGGGTCACAGTTTAATATAACAGCTGAATTAATAAAATCAAATGTTAAAATGAAGAGACATCTTTAACCATGTCCAACTGGCCCATCGACAACTCTCCAGCTGGCTGCTGGAAGGTGAGAAACTCTAAGGCAGATGTGGTCTGAGGAGCCTCAACCCCAACTGATTCCCAGAACCAACCCAACACGTGGCACTTCAAATGCCCGGTCCTGCAGGAAAAACCAGAGGCAAAACTAAAATAACATGCAGATGGCACTTACAATCATCATTAAAACCATTGGTCCCAGGTAAATGATGATGAAGAAAAACGCAATCATGGCCAGAGTCAGGATGCCTCTCACCCACCAGTTCTTCCATCTGAGTTAGAGGAGGGGAAGGAGAAGGCACGTTAGGAGCCCGGCAAGAACTGAAGCACAAACCCGCGGGGGAGGTCCTTCCTGGGCTGAGAGGGCCCTGAGGTCAGCCCTTTCCGGGAGCACCCCCTGCACCTCGACAGGGCACTAGTCGCACGCTGGCAGGAGCAGGGCCGCCTCTCTAGGGCCATCACCTCATCCATACTGAACTCAGAAGGTGCTCCGAGGCCTTAGAAAAACACACTCAGGTTATGTCTTCAGGAATGAATCAGGCCAGAGTCCCGAGGGAAATGCAGTGTCCTCCACTCCTGTGTCCACCTGGGTGGCTTCTAGGGGCCTCTCTCTTGGAGGGAAAAACCAGGAACATTTTCCCTGCAGCAGAATCCTGCACTGCTCTGCCCCTGCATATGGTGATCACAGCATCACACACCGTGGTGATAAAAGCCGTCACACATGGGTACCTGGCACTTTGCTAAGGCTTTACCTGTATGAACTGATTCAACTCTCAACACTACCAGCTTTTACAGCTGAGGAAATGGGTGCGCAGGTCACCTAGCTGGGAAGCGCTTAGCCCTGGAAGTCTGTCTGGCTCCAGATCCACACGCCCTGAACCTTTCAAAGGGACAGACATATGGGAGACACTCACAGGAACACTGTTAGATAATGTTTTGGAGTCTTACAGTTTGTCTTTTTAATCTACCCGTAGAGCTGGTGTTGGAAGGACCAGAGTCTCAAGGGACCAAAGTTTTAACGGATTCACCCAAGTTGACATGTTTCTCAATTATTACAAGAGAATTTAAGGAATGTCCACAAGGCATGCGTGTGGGAGAGAGAAACTGAACTCTGAGCTAGAAACTTGGGCTCAGTGGAAAGTGGCCTGCCCATTAGTCACAAACGCCAAGGACCATTTCTCTGCATGCGCCCCTATGATCGGGCTTTCCTCCTCCTTGGACAGTGCCTCCCAGGCAGCCAAGGGCACCCTTCAAGGGCCAGATCCGCCCAGGCTGTGTTCAGAGTCACTGTTAAGCACCAGATGACACTCAGTGGAGCTCTGGGCAGAGGCAGGGGAGACCGTGCCAGTGATAGTGGGCAGGCCTGCCCCACACACTTTATTTAACACGGGTGGGCTCCTGCCACAAGACCGTGGGCTCTCCAAGGGCTCCAGGTCTTCCATGGCTCCTGGAGACAGCGCAAGCCCCCCGGCAAGCACCTGCACCGCTAAGCCAGGCTACCTTGAAGACAAGTTGGAAAGGGCCCTGTTGAGGACCTCTGGGGTATCGTCTGCAGAGGGTGGCAGGCTGGCAGCGTCCACTCGGCTCTCACTGTCTGACGCAGTCTCTCCATCAACCTTTGCTTCTGACTCCAACTCCTACGGAGCAGAAAAACAGAAGAGGAAAAGGGCGAAGTGCTGAGCAGGATACTTAGACGTATGTGCCTGTCAAGAAAGATCTGTGAGAGAGACTCAGATAGGGCCTGAGGACCTGGCACAGTCAGGTGGCAGAACAGATGGGACTCTGGGCGACCCCGACACTGTGCTGACACGTGCTGAGATGGCCAGCTCCCTGCTGCAAGAGGCGGCATCCGCACCACGGGAGGATGAGGAACAGCTGACCACCTGCTCAACCTCCCCGCCTTCTAGGGGAGCGGGGGAGGGGACCATCCATAAGCGTGAGAAAGGGGCTCCTCTGTACCTGCAGAACGCAAGAGGGACTTTGTCAGGCTTCAGCTCCGATCCTGCCCCTACTGCAGGGATCCCAGGGTCCACTGCCTATAAGGGTTCGGCTGCAGACACCCAAGAAGACCCACTCGCCTTTGAAAACCCCTCTCCATCAACACCTAAGTCACACAGGGAGCAGCCCCTGCTCTGCCACAACAAGCTGTGGACTCAGAGCCACCAGGGCAACCAGCAGCTCTGGCCAGGCTCTCTTAGGGGCAGCTGGGAATGCTGGCTACTGCTCCCCAGCTGGGCTCCCCAAGGTCCAAGTGTCACTTCCAGACGTCACAAGAACACCCCGTGAGGACGCCAGCCCCAGTCAGTGTGGGAGCCCTATGGGACCAACTGACTCGAGTCAGTGCTTCACCAGGACTGGTGTGCACCACTGCCCCTCCCCTGGGGCCCAGGCAGCAGCACACTTTGATGTCACGCACAGAGTTGCCCCCAGGTCCCAGTCATGTAAGGAAGCGCCTGCAGGAACCCGTCCTGCTCCTCAGTCAGGGGGAAGGGACCACAGCCATGCCAGTAACAGGCTTTCCATCCAAAGTACCAAGGAGCAGGCCGCTCTGCATCCTGGGGACCATCCTTCTACTCAGAGCTTTTATTTCTCAGGGGAGTTTAAGAGTATCTGCTGTGAGAAGAGGTGGAGAAATCAAATCACTTGGAATTAGAGTAACAATACTGCCTGGTATCTGAATAGCCCTTCACAGTTTTGAGCACATTTCCCACACCTGTGAACATCTGAGCAGTTCTGGGAGGAAAGGAAAAGACAGAAAAGGTCCCTCCTTACAAATGAAGTAACAGGGGCTCTGGGAGATTCAATGGCTCGCCCCAGATCGCCTATTAACCGAGGTCTCTGACTTCACTGTGTCCATTCCACTGGATTCCCTGTCATTTAAGCATCTTGGAATCCATTTCATTCTTCAGTAAGAAATTCAGAACAAGGTAAACTGGAAATGGCAAAAGATGTTTCACCAAATCTTCAAAGATTTCGTTGCATGAGTGTGCAAACACAAAAGTTACATCTTTTTCAAATTGAACAATTTGAATTTCCCTGATAACTAATAAATACATGAAATTGAGCACCATTTCAAAGGTTTCTTGGCTATTTGGGTATCTTCTTTTGCAAAGCATCTGTCAAGTCATTGGCTGATTTTCTACTGAGTTTTCTGCCTTTTTATTGCTTTGGAGCAGTTTTTTATACGTTCCAGATTTAAATACTTTGTGGCACTAGTATGTGCCCCCAGCCTGCTCTCACCCCTGCCCCGCCACCTCAGTCCTTCCCCCTCTAACAATCAGACCTTCTTCCTCCCTCTCAGCACTGGCCACAGTGGGGACTTGGGAGATTTTTTTGTAATTGTTGTTCCAAATGACCGCAAGCTCCCTGAAGACGAGGATTACGACACCTTGCTCTCATGACATCCTCATGCCTGGCACACAGATCCTTACACAAAGTACTGACAGATGGAAGGAGGCGGGAGGAAGAGCAGAAGTCACCCCAGGTCTGCAAAGAGAGGCGCAGCCTCTGCCCTCGTGGAGACAGCTATTTCTAAATGAACATACGACGGTGACAACACTGCAAAGTCGAGGCCTTCGCTGCTGCGGGACTGCTGACACAGAGGCAGCTGGCCTTGGTAAAGAACTTGTGGCGGTGGCCTCGTCAGTAGATCTGAGCTCAAGGGCCACAGCTTCTGATGGCGGGGTCGCTGCTCCCTCCTCTGCCACAGCTCAGCCAGTGGCTCTGGACAAGTCACCCAAGGGCTGCTGTACTCCCGCATCCTCACCAATACAAGGGTGAAAGGACCCTCCTTATCTGGTAGGGGTTCCCTGCAAAGATATGACCAAACCCCCACCTGGAGCTGTATCCTATTCCACTGCCCCAAGAGTCTCTGAAACACGACGCCGCCCCCAGGACTGTCTCTCTCCAGTTAGACTCAGTGAAGACCGAGGCATTCAGAACAGCTTTCCATTCTTTGCATCAACACTAGCACCCACACCCCATCAGCTACCATCAGTAATATAAGGTAACGATGCTGTGTGATTACCTAGCTGACCCCTAAACCACAGGGCTTCCAAATGCAAGTACCAGGGACCCACCGAGGCCTCCCACGGATGCTGAGTGGAACACAGCAGAAGAGAGGGCACGCGTGTGCATGCACAGAAGCCCCAGCACAGGTTATTTTTAACTCATCCATCCTGTTGTCAAGGAAACTCACAAAGGCTGCCGGCTGCCCAGCTAGGAAGGGCAGGAAGGAACTCAGGCACAGCCCCTGCAGGGGAGGGGCAGGGGGCTCCGGCTCTGTACTGTCTCCGGACCTGCTGGGCCCTTTTATGAAAGTTAGCCCAGACATCACCCTCCCCCGCTCCTCTCCTTCCTGGCTAGGAAGAGGTGAAGTGAGGAGAGGCATCCCGAGGCAGGAAGGAGTAAAAGGAAGTCAAGAAAAGTTATGAAGACACTGTGACTTGTTATTGTCAAGACATCAGGGGGCCTGGGATGAGCAGCTAAGAAATTAAGTAAACTCCCCGAAGAAACAAGCCTGAAGGAGACGAACTTTCTAGGTGAGATGTCACCTGCCTTTAAGCACGTTAACTCCAGGGTCCTGGGCCTCACACCAGGCCTCCGAGTAAGGAACCTCAGAGCCCTTCTTGGAGGTCTCCTCAGAGCAGGAAACAAACACCTGCGGAGACAACCGCTCTCCCACAAGCTGGAACAGGAAAAGGCGGAGGGCAGACCCCTGTCCCAGAGGAAGGGGCACAGCCCGGGAAGACAGGGGCCGGGGGCAAGTCAGCCAGCTCTCCAGGTTCCAGGTGCGGGTGTCAGAGAGGCCGAGGGAACAGAACCTAGGAGAACCTGCAGCCTGCAGCCTTCTGGCTCCTCCCCGTGTGTGGGCAAAGGCCTCCCGCTTGGACGTTCACTTGGGCCCCTTAGCCCTGAGTGAGGAGGCTGAATGCTGGCGGTAGCTTCCAACGAGGGCCCAGAGGAGGCAGAAACCTGAGCCCAAGATGTCACCCAGGAGAAAGTGGCAGATACTGGGCCAAGAGTCGGAGATGCCAAGCACTTCACTGGTTTGCTCCTCTAGGGGGTGGTGACATAGGCAGATGCCAAGGAAGACTTTCTGCAGGAGGAGGAAGCAGCCAGACAAGGGAAAGCAGGGCCCAGGTCCCAGCCCTGCTGCCCATTACACTCAGCACAGGCCTCCCAGTGGGGAAAGGACCGCTACCTGGAATGGCTGTTTGGATGATCAAATGCAACACCAGTGAAAGCCTATTAAAACTAGAAACGGACTGAACAGCAACAGGTACCCACTGCATGTACCACCCCGACCCTCACCCCTCAGCAGGCTGACTACAGCACACAGGACTGGAGCCCAGGAACCTGAAACACCCACCCCAGGTGACCCGAGCACCCTTCCCACGGAGGGTGGAGAGGAGAAAGAATGGAGGGGGCCCCCGGCCTTGCTGGGGCCCGTGTGCTAATCAGCAATGTGCACTTAGCATCTGCCTGCCTTGCTTCCTCCATCCCGTCTTCCATTCATCCAACAGGCGGCTCTGACTCAAAAGTGATCCTCTTCCCAAAGCTCCCACGGAAGGGCGAGGTGTGAGCCGCAGGCGGCGGTACGTGCCAGTGCTGACGTGGGAGGCGTGCAGCACAGTCCGTCGAGGTGGGAGGAAAGAGCAGGACCTATTACTGTTGACCTCGTTCATCTTCTCTTTCCTGTGCGTGCTTTATAACGGACATATCAACACATGTGCGCGCTGAGTCTGTGCAGGCTGGGGCACGTGGATAAACACCACATACACGTCGGACACGATGGTGTGTCAGCAGCCCTGGGCTTCTTGATTCCCACCGCATTGAGCAGTGCCTGGAACACAGCAGGTACCCGAAGACTTGTTGGACTGATGAGCTGATTAATTTTACCTAACCTACCATTGACTACTCAGTGTCCAGAGTGCACTGAGTGTACAACAGAACTCAGATTTCCAGCTCGTGTGCCAGGACGGCCAGGCCCCCACCTCTGCAGCAGCCTTGCAGCAGGACCAGACCAGTGCCCGCTCCCACCCACCTCCCTGCTGGGCACTGGGTCTGAGGACCCAGCTCAGTAGCTCTGGGACCAGCACACGGTGGCGGGGAAAGGCTGCCTTGCTGCTTCAAGGTGTCTCAGCCCAGCTCCCAGGCACCCCCTCCCACTTCCTTTCTTTCTTTTCAACCCAAGGACCCAGACCAGTGAGTGAAGCAGAGCCCGTATCACCACCCACCCTCCCACAGCCCTGTAGCCATTCCCCAAAGAGGTTGTGGTGCTGATGTAAATAAACAGGAAATAAGAGCGCTGCTCTAAAAGGAAAAAAAAAAGCCTTCTCCAAGGCCTCCTTCCTTCTGGTTCACTCAGACCTTACAGGGAAAGGCAGAGCACTTAGGGTGAAGGACATGTGGGGCATCCTGGGCACAAGGGCTCAGATAAGGCCTGTCAACATTTTTAGAGAAACTTATGCCTGAAAGGCTTCCCCCACCAGCCTTCCAGGGCCCCTCTGCTTTCCAGCCAACAACCTGGAGCTCAGAACAGCACAGAAGGCTTCCTTCAACAGAAGAGAAGGCAGCGAGGGAGGGCCCGAAGGAGCAGTCATGGGGGAGGAGGGGAGGTCCCTGTGGTCAAGGTCTGGCTTCCTAGCCTGGGGAAGGGAACTTGCTTGGTCCAGAACACCGTCTGCAGGACTCATTTTCACTGTTATCATCTAGGAGAGAACCCCAGCAGCTTAGAGGACATTAAACTGCATTAATATTCTTAAGTTTCATTTACTGAGTGACTCCATTACTTACACAAACTATTTTTTACACTGCTTTAGATGCAAATTACAACCCTGTCCTGGAGGAGGATCATCAGGCTGAGCCTAACCTTTCCACTAAATACCAAGCCTGCCATCTTCTTAATCAAGCCCTGTGGCCAGCTGCCAGGGCAACTGACACCCCCACTTACAGACACAAACCCCAGGAGAGAAATCACTCGAGACAGGCTTATCCTTAACATGAGTGTAGGGAACCTGTGTGTTCCTCTCACTGAAAAAGGCTGGGTTCCTACTGGGGGAATAAAATTGTGTGTGTGTTTGTGTTTGTGTGTGTGTGTGTGTGTTGTGTGTGTGTATGTGTGTGGTTTGGAATAGCAAAGGCAATATTTCTAGCTTTTTCTAATGCTAATAACCTCATTTGACAAGTTCAGTTGTAATAACATAGGGTCAAAGAGGAGGAGCCTTACTCTGAAAGTCTAGAATCATCCCCAACATGGCCATATCCTGTCTTCAAAAGCCTCTTGTCAATAATGTGATCTACAGAAAATGCATACGGGGAGGAGGGTATAGCTCAGTTGGTAGAGTGTGTGTTTAGCATGCACAAGATCCTGGGCTCAATTCCCAGTAACTCCATTAAAGAAAAAATGTACTCAATAAATCACAGAAATATTTTTTTCTCCTACAGTAATGGAAATAAAAACCTTTCTGCTGTCCCTCAATACACTGAGCTCACACCTGACTCAGAGCCTTCACAGTAACTCTGGGATTTTCTCACTACTCCATCAGCCACCTCACTCAGTCTCCATTCGGACAGTCCCTCCTCAAAGACGGCTTTTCTGGCCACCCTACTGAAAAGAATGACCCAATTCCACTCCCATCATCCCCTAGCTCCTTAGAATGCTTTCTTTTATTTATAGCACTTACCAATGCCCGAAATGTGTTATCAATATCAATTTTGAAGGCACCAGAGGAACACATACCTCTTTACTGTCATCTGATCTTGATAGACATTTTTTTAAGTAATATATATTCCTTAAAGATAACTGAGATAGGCATTTTCAGAACCTCCCATAGTTCTGCTATCCAAAATAACTAACATTCTGACATATCCCGTGCTAGCCTTTTTCTGTGTACACGTTTTGTGGGGGGGATAATAACTGTAATCACACTGCACACCCAATTCCAGTTTTGCTTCCCTGTCACCTCTGTCATCAATGACTCAGATGAAACAACTGACGGTAGAATGATAAAACGTGCAGAAGACACAAAGCTCCGGAAGACAGACAGAAAAATAAGTACTTAAAAATATCAATGTGCTGGGAAGATGGGCCAATTATACAAATATAAAACTAGGTATCAATCAGCCCAAGACTTCAACCTAGCCTGCTTCCAAGCACAAACTGAGGAAGACACAGCTTAACAGTAACACACACACATAAAGACATAAGAACGTTGGTTGGCAATCACAGTTCATAGTTTGAATAATAAAAACAAAAGAAACCAAAAAATATAATGTGATCTGTTCAAATCAGGCCCAAAATGGAGTCACTTATGCTGAGTTCTACATCACCAAACCAAGAGTTAACTTTGGCTCTCCTAGAAATGGAGAATCTCTTAAAGCAGTCAGTCAGGAGTTACCTGATCAGCACTGTTTAGGGTAATCTGCCTGAGACTCCTGCCAGCCCCTAAAGGAAAGTAACTTTGCAATAACTTACCTCCTTTTTTGCTAGTATATAAGTCCCTTATTCTCACTCCCTTCTGCCCAGAAAAGTCTCATTTAGTACAGCTTTCTTTCTCTCCACCACATTGGATGCTGCTTGAGTCATCATCTTTGAATAAAACTATCTTTAAATTTTACTCAGTTGAATTTTCTTTTTCTTTCTTTCTTTTTTTGCAGGAAGGAAGTAATGAGATTTATTTATTTTGGGGAGTTTTTAACATTTTTTTATTGAGTTACAGTCATTTTACAATATTGTGTCAAATTCCAGTGTAGAGCACAATTTTTCAGTTATACATGAACATACATATATTCATTGTCACATTTTTTTTCACTGTGAGCTACCACAAGATCTTGTATATATTTCCCTGTGCTATACAGTATAATCTTGTTTATCTATTCTACATATGTCTTTCAGTATCTACAAATTTTGAACTCCCAGCCTGTCCCTTCCCAACCTCCTCTTCCTTGGCAACCACAAGTTTGTATTCTATGTCTATGAGTCTGTTTCTGTTTTGTATTTATGTTCTTTTTTTTTTTAACGATTCCACATATGAGCAATCTCATATGGTATTTTTCTTTCTCTTTCTGGCTTACTTCACTTAGAATGATATTCTCCAGGGACATTCATGTTGCTGTAAATGGCATTATGTTGTCGTTTTTAATGGCTGAATAGTATTTCATGTATAAATATACCACATCTTCTTTATCCTCAGTTGAATTTTCTTAAACAAATCTTGGGCTGAATTAACACACATATGCTCCTGCTCTACTTAGCACTGGTCAGACCTTACCAAGGGGTGAAAATGTCCAGTACAGTGGTTAAAGCAGTAAGGAGATACAAAAGGAATAAGACCATAATAGAAATAGAAGAAACCAGAGAGGCCAAGCCTGGGACAACTGGGAAATGAGCATGCATCATTGCATTGTTAAAAAAGCAGAAATAGGTGTTACGTCCCTAACAAGGGAAAATTATTAGGTAAATTATGGTAAAACAACTTTCTGTGCAGCTATTAACAAGACAACTATAAATGCCACATAGCGGGGAAGGGGTATAGCTCAAGTGATAGAGTGCGTGCTTAGTATGCACAAGGTCCTGGGTTCAATCCCCAGTACCTCCATCAAAACTAAATAAATAAACCTAATTACCTCCCCGCCCCCAATAAGTAAACGCCATGTAGCAAAATGCAAGACAAAATGCAAAACTGTATCTAGATGGGGTTTTAACTACATAAAGCCTGAAAACATACACAGCAGTTATCAATCTTTCACCTCTCAGACTGGATCTCTGATAACACTGCTGGGCTTGGATCAATCCTGGGATACTGCACATTTAGTGTTTTACTACCCAGCTTCGGTTCTCCTTTTTGAGACAGTAATTCTTTAATTTTGCTTTTAGGCAATCCTCTCCTCCCTTACCATGTGCAGGCAGGTATTTTATACCTAATTAGGGCACTAGGCTCCCTAAACCACAGCCATTGGGTCCGAGATGAACACATAACCCAATCACAGCAATTCCCTGTAGTTCTTCTGGAGCCCCCAGGAAGAAGGCATGATCTTGTCAATGGAACTTTCCATCTGCTGGAAAATCCTGCAACCATGTGAAATCCAGAAATGATGCCATCGTGAAAGAGAGCCAAGACATGGAGGGAGACCAAGGCTTGATGACTTTTGAGACACTAAATTAAACCAGGCCTAGAATCTCCTCAGTCCTGAAATTACATGCGCTAATAGAAAGAACCCTTTTCCCTTTTCAGTCAAGTTAGAGCAGCTTCCTGCACTAAAAGAGTCTTAGTTTCCTTCCTCTCTTCCTATCTTCTCTGTTCTTCCTCCCCACACTTCCTTAAATGCCAGTGTTCCCCAAGCTTGTATCTCTACACTGCACCCTTAGTACCATCAGTCTCTCTTCTGTGGACCCATCTTCCGTAACACTACTTATATCCTCTCCCAAGCTACAGCACTACATTTCAACCTGCCAGAAAGACCCCTCCATGTCCAACACCACCTCCAACTCAACAGGTCCAAAACCAGTCACCTCCTTCCCAGCTCACACCAGCTCTCCTGTTTCCCATTGAGAACCTAATCCATCCGAGATGTGTTCCGCAGGGAACGCTGATCTTCATCACCGTCTCCAGATCCCCTGCCACACCTCATCAGTTCTCACACCATGTGAGCCGATCACTAGTCTCTCCTTACTCTCATCTCACCATTAGCATCCTTGCTCAAGTCTGCAGGTCAACCCTTCTCTACTACACTGGCCTCCCAAGTGATTTCTCCACTAATTCCTCCCTTCTCTGTCTTATTCCCCACACATTCCAAGATTAATCTTCACAAAGCGCAGCGGATTACACCCCTCCTCCACTCATTTTTGCCTAGAGAATTAATGACCTCCTACTTCAGGTCCTCTAAGATCTGTCCTCTGCACTCTGCACACACCAAGTGCTCCAATCAAACACAGCTGCTCACTGGCCCTGAATACCTCCACCCGGCTCTCTTCTCTCCCTTTGCTCCCAACCTTTTTTCCTCCCTGCTCATCCTTTAAGTCCCATCTTAGAGTCACTAAGTCTCCTCAAGGAAAGTTTTCCCTGATTTCCATCTATAGTAGATAGGGGGGAAAAAGGCCCCCTCCCCAAAATAAACTGACTTCCTAGAAATCTGTGAATATTACATTACATGGCAAAAGAGTAAATATTACCTTATATGGCAAAAGGTGTTAATTAAGGTAAGAATCTTGAAAAGGGGTGTTTAGCCTGACAATCCAGTTGGGCCCTAAATGGAATCACATGTATCCTTCTAAAACGGAGGCAAAGGGAGATCTGATGCAGAAACAAAGGAGAAGACAAAGTGAAGACAGATGACAGAGGTGGCCACAAGCCAGAGGATGCTAAGTCACCAGAAACTGGAACGAGGCGCAGCATGGAGTCTCCTCTAGAGCCTCTGAAAAGAGTACGGTCCCGCCAACACCTTGATTTCAGCACTCCAGCCCCCCAGAATAATTTTCTGTTGTTTTAAGCCACCCAGTTTGTGGCAACTTGTTAAAACAGCTCCAGGAAACTAATACCCCATCCTTCTCACCAACTGTCTTTTCCAGTAAAGCTCCCACAGCCCATGATGCGTCTCCCCTCCTACCATTTGTTGCACTTTGCATTTATGTTAACAGGGCACTTTCCATAATGTATTTTAGATTTCAAGTTCTTCAAAAGCAAGGACTACCCTATTCATCTTTGTTTATCTTGAAAGCACCTTGCCTAGAATCTGGTAACAGCTTAAGGAGAGTTTTTTAAAACTCATTAAAATTTAATGAAAATTCATCAACCTTTATTTACAGGGCGTAGAATAATGGCTGCCATCACTTGCGCAGGAAAGACGATTTGAGAGCTTCAGTTAGACAGTTGCAACTAATGACTAAAAGGATTACATTTTCAGCCTTCCCGAAGATTAAAGTTATTTGGGGAGGGAGGCCCATAAAATCCAGGGTGGCAATGAGCTGTATTTCCAGACAGCAATTGAAGTGTTGCCAGGAATAATGAATAAGCAGGCAGAGTGAAGTCTTTTATACTCAAAAGGTTCAACCCTGACCTAAAGAACGTACAGGTCTGTGCACAATTCCACTCACTTCCCTTGAATAACGGGAAACACTCCAGGCAGAATCAGTACACATCTGTCCTTTGAGACAACTGGACGGCATGCTGAAAGGTCTCTCCCAATGCTAACACGCAGAAATGCCACCTTCATATTAAGAAAACACCTGCTGCTGCTGCTCCTTTGTCAGATCATTACCACCTGAAATTATTACACATTTGTCTGTCTCCCCCACTGGAATATAAACTCCATGTCGAAGGGATTTTGTTTATTTAATGCTAAATGCCCATGGCCTACAAGACTGTCTGGTACATAGAAGGTCCTCAGTAAGTGTTTCTGTACAAAAGGACGAAGGGAAGAAAGAAGACAGGCTAAGGAATGACTAAGGAGTTCTCCACTTCTGAGTCTGTAGGTTAAAATGGCAGGCGTGAGTACCACACTGCAAGAGTCAGCCACTTTGCACAAAGTGTCCCCGCCTTATCACGTTTACATAGATTTGCAGGTTCTGTGTGGAAGCGATGTGACATTCTTAAGAACTGCAGGATGAGCCTTCAAACAGGAGAACAGAGGTGGGCAGCAGAATGGGGAAGACAATCTTAGGCAGCTGCTGACTGCCTTTCCCTCCACGCTTTCTTGCAAAAAGGAAATACCTGCCTCCTGCAGCTTGGGCTTCCAGAAGCTGAGCTCTCCGCCAAGTCAGATTCTGCTCCAAGCAAAGACAGACAGATGCATCAACCAAAAGAGAAATTACTCACTTCTCCATCTTAATAACAAGTGCGACAGTGATGGCCGCTCAGTCTTCACCCTGTGAACAGCCTGGCTGGCATCTCCATCCAACGCCATCTCAGCTGAAGTTTGAAGTTTGATGAACAGAGTTAACTCTAACACCTCTGTTACCTGGTATTAAGAAAAAATCTGCTAGTCCATAAGAGAAATTTCTACATAACCAAAACTTCCCTGCTTTATCAATTAAAAAAAGAAACACATCTTTCTTTTAAAACCATTTAAAAGCAAATCTTCTACTCAAAGTTTGTTTTATAAGCAGAAGGGAATGGGAACAAAGAAGTTACAATGGCAAAAAAGTAGACTAGTTATTTCAAAATTCCTTTCTTTCAGGGGGTGGCAGGGACCTACCAGGCCGATTACCCTAAGTAGTGCTGGTTAGGTAACTCCTGACTGACTGGTTTAAGATTCCATTTCCAGTAGAGCCAAAACCGTAATTAAGTCTTGGTCTGGTGAGGTGGAGCTTAGCATAACTGACTCCATTTTAGGCCTGCTGTCTTGTTTTAACACCTTGAATTTCCACTGCTCTTCCAGCTGTGTGGACCTCAGGAGCTAATGAGTGAAGAGACTGTCTCCCCTAGTTATACTGGCCCCCACTTTAGTGCTCAGGTTGGAATCCTAGCGTTTATCCTCCCTAACAGGCTACTAGCATCCTGGCCTTGAGAGCACTTCCAAGCTGCCTCTCTTCCAGAGAACTCTATCAGGGTAAAGAAGTCAGAAGGCCAAGACTCTTAGAAGTAGGCCTGAGCTAAGAATGGACAGAGCCAGTGAGCCGTTCACACCCGGAGAGGGTCCTCAGGTTCAGTGCCCGGGCAAGGACTTCCAGGCAGAAACTGTGGACATCAGCCCGGCTATTCTCAGGACATTTACTCTTTCGAGGTGCTGACTGGGAGCAACAATCTCTCAACCAGAAAGGCTTGAGGAAGACATGACAACTCAGTCAGTACTTAGGCCCTACAGGTAGGTGTTCCGGAGTCTGAGAAAGACATGGGGTGGGAAGAAATCTACCCATAGGCTTCCACAGGCAGGTAAGGAAATCCAACCCTCCCGAGCAACCTCCCTGCCCCAAATCCCTGCTAGGCTATCGCAGTGGCCTGTCTGTGAAAAATGGATAATCATTTCTAAAAATCCTTTAAGAACAATACCACAGTTTGGCTCTTTCAACTTTTTTACTAAAAAAACCTCTTATCATCAGTAAGAAAAATGTGATCCTTCCAATAGAAAAATCAGCAAAAGAGAAAGACAATGTGCCAAATACAAACAACCTATATACTGATTTAACCTCTCTAATAATCAGTGATGTAAAAAAGTGAAATGGCCATGAGGAATCATTTTTCTCACATGAGACTGAATGAATAGATGAAAAGAATATTTACCGCGGATCAGGGTTGGAGAAAACCGGAACATTCATACAGTATTCATAGAAATGTAAATTGGTACTACCTCTCCGAAAGGCAATTTAGAAATAGGTACAAAGAGTTTTTAAATGGTTCACATCTCCTCTGACCTAGTCATTCCATATTGAGACACTACCCTATATGAATATCCAGAGAAACACAGAATTTATGAGGCTGTTCATCACAGCATTATGTATGGGAAGAAATAAGCTATGCGTCCAACAACAGAAGATTCTGCCATGATCTATTTAACAAAGATAGGGAAGAATGCCAAACAGTCATTTTAAAACCATAGGTGGGGAGGGTATAGCCCAGTGGTAGAATGTGTGACAGGTCCTGGGTTCAATCCCCAGCACCTCCACAAAAAAAATAAATACATAAAAACCTAATTACCTCCCCCAACAAAAAAAAAATTAAAAGAAAAGAAAATCTGCATGTCTAGTCTCTAAAAATACAAAAAACTATAGGAAAAATATTAGCAGGACTTGATGAAAGTGTTAACAGCAATTATACCCTGAGTAGTGAAATTAAGGTAACTTACATGTTTTATCCTTTCTTGGCACCTCTACATTTTCCACAAAATAAGCTATTCCTTCCATAATTTTAAAAAGTACAAAATGGATATACCTAAGGCTCTCATTCCTCTGACACCTTTACTGGCTTCCCCTAAACTCTCTGGCAGGGCTCTTAAGGCCTCCCCATCACACTTTGGGACTCTTAACTGAGTCTCCATCCATCCTTCTAGGCACATTCCTGCTCCTCCAGCTCAAACGTCACCACCTCTGCACCTGCCCAGGCGGTGGTAAGCACCTCAGATCGATCAGTGAGCCTTAGAGTCATACATGGATGCCCACAAGAGGACCATAAGATTCTTCAAAGCAATGAGGACAAGCCCCAGGGTCAGCTTCCACAGCCACATTACCTATACTGAACTCATCAAAGCCAAGACATTAGTGGACAACAAATGCTGGAAATCCTGGGCCAAATTTCCCTGAAAAATCTCAAACCATCCTGGTTTTCTATCCCCTTTTCGATCCCCCGGACACTAAAAGTTTTAACTTCAAATGGTGGTTCACTCCAGTGTTTTGGATATCTTAAGACCAATGAAAATGTAAGACTCATGTCAGAACACCAAGTCCAGTAATCGAGACAACTCTTCCCTGAGATCTAGGAAACAAGATGTCTAACAGCTCTCAGGACTCAAGCAGCACCGCCCAGAATGATGAGATGTCCCTTGTCTGATGAAAAGTCCCTAGAAGAGGCTGGTATCTGTGGAAGAAATGGTTCTTTCATCAGAAGTTCTCAAAACAGCTACTCCCCAGGGGCACCTTTCCAACAGACCACTATGTGCAAATTGAAAAGTCTCTGAACAGAGAATTCTGTGGAACAGACAGAAGACAGAAATGGCAACTGTTCAAGAGAAGACTGGGTGTCTGGCTGACATCCCTGTGAGAAAACAAAGCTCACGTGGCCCTTGCTCTCCCAAAACTACAGGAGGGGACAGAAACAGCCCAAACACAGCACAAATGGGACCGTGGTGGGATATTCTATTCAAAGTAACCAAAGATCAGCAGTGACGGGGGTCCCCAGCTTCTACGAACACCCTCACACTCAAAGCAGGATGGGACACTATAAACCTACAATGGAAGGGATTAGAGATTTATGCCTTTGGAGCTAAGCCCATGGAAAAAAATGACCAGAGGCAATGAGAACTCCAGCCAGCCAGTCTCCACATATAACACAATGAGGCTATTTCTCAACCTTATCCTTTAGTTATTTTTCCACCAAGGATCTCTTATTTTAAAGATCGCATTTATTAATAACTGATTTGATTCTCCAAAGGTAACTGCCGCATTGCGCCTCCTCCTTAGGCCCTTCAGGCTGCAGGACACCTGGGTTTCAATGCCAGCCCTGCCAGGAGCCGCTCCATCTCCAGCAAGTTACTGCTCCAACACCTAGGAAACACACATTTCTGCTGCAACAGCAGGAAGCAGGTGCATGTGCAAGGGTGACTTTTATCCAAAGCCATCTTGTCAAAGCTCTACCATTTCTGGATATTTCCACCCAATTTTGTAGTAATTCAAGATCATCATTTTATATGAAAATGAATACATGTATCTATATGCATGACACTGTGCTGTATACCAGAAACTGAAACATTGTAACAGACTGTACTTCAATTAAAAAAAAAAGATCATCACTTTAGACAATTACTGCTCCATCACATAGAGAGATCAAAAGATACAAATTAGATGATGAGGGAGAGGGAACTAAGGGCCTGGTTTTTCTTCTGTTTTTAAAAGAGTGTTGCTGGACATCCATGCTTAGTGGATACTAGGATTCAGGGACTTTCCTACATATTATTCCTTTGTTTGCCAGACAGTTACATATTATACCATCCAAAAGATGCTCAAGGCCTGTGTCTTGAGGGTTCTCCCACTGGGGAGCAGGCAGCTACCTACACTTGGTCCTCAGCTCCTTCCTTTCCATCCCCAAACCTGCAAACAGTCCCC